GCACCACCGCCTTGGTCACCCCTCCCTGCTTCGTCTCCGAAGCATGGCCTCCCGTGTCCTTGTCTCTGGTCTTCCCCGGTCCCTCCCTCCCCTTCCTCCGGGGCCTGGCCCTACCTGTGTCCCCTGTGTCGAGGGGCGGCAGCGGGCTGCCCCTCACTCCTCTCAACTTCCTCCGACAGAGGCCCCACTGCAGACGCTTCACATGGACGTGTGGGGCCCGGCCCGCGTCCGTGGACAGGGTCACGAGCGCTACTTCCTGCTGGTGGTTGACGACTACTCGCGTTACACCACAGTCTTCCCCTTGCGCAGCAAGGGTGATGTCACTGAGGTGTTGATCGACTGGATCCGCGCAGCTCGTCTCCAGCTCAGGCGGAGCTTCGGCTCGGACTTTCTTGTTCTGCGTCTGCACTCTGACAGAGGCGGAGAGTTCTCCTCTGGCCTTCTGCAAGCCTACTGTCGTGCACGAGGCATCCGCTAGACCTTCACACTTCCGGACTCTCCACAGTAAAATGGGATTGCTGAGCGCCGCATTGGCATGGTCATGGATGTCGCTCGTACGTCCATGATGCATGCGGCTGCCCCCCGTTTTCTGTGGCCGTTTGCGGTCCGGTACGCGGCGCATCAGATCAACCTTCAGCCCAGGGTCTCCATGCCGGAGACCTCCCCAGCTTTGCTGTGGACGGGGAAGGTTGGCGATGCGTCTGCGTTCCGTGTCTCGGGATCTCGGGCGTTTGTCCGCGACTTGTCTGCGGACAAGCTGTCCCCTCGTGCTGCTCCCTGCGTCTTCCTGGGTTTCCCCTCTTACGCGCCAGGGTGGCAGTTCTACCACCCCACCTCTCGCCGTGTTCTGTCCTCCCAGGACGTCACGTTCGACGAGTCGGTCCCCTACTACCGTCTCTTCCCCTACCGCACTCCGTCCCTCCCCCCGCCACCGCTCTTCCTTGTGCCAGGTCCCCCCCCGGTAGACCCCCTCCCCCCTCAGGGTCCTGCCCTTTCAGGTGTGTCCCAGGAAGACGCTGTTGAGCCTGTCGAGGTCGCTAGTGACTCTGGTGCTGCTGAGGGTGCTGAGCCTGGGGGTGCTGACTCTGGGGGTGCTGAGCGTGTGGGTGCTAGGCTTGGGGGTGCTGAGCCTGGGGGTGCTGAGCTTGGGATTGCTGAGCCTGGGAGTGCTGAGCCTGGGGGTGCTGAGCCTGGGGGTACTGAGCCTGGGGGTACTACGCCTGGAGGTGCTGAGCCTGGAGGTGCTGAGCCTGAGGGAGCTGGGCCTGCTCGTGTGGCGTCTGGCAGTGCTGTGCCTGGCGGTTCTCCGGGTGCTTCGTCTCGCCGGGAGCCACTCTCTCCACAGGAGCTGCGTGAGTGGTTTGCCCGGCGCTGGAGGCGAGCTGCTGGAGCTGGAGGTGCTGCGGCTACTAGAGGTTCTGCTGCTGCTGAGGGTGCTGGTGCCGCGGGTCCCGGAGCTGCTCGTACTGGGAGTACTGGAGCTGCTGGGCCTGCGGGTACTTCTGGAGTTTGAGTTGCTGCGGGTGTTGGCGCGGAGGCTACTGCTGTCGGTCCTGGAGGCGGTCCTGCTGGGAGTGCTACTGGTGCTGCTGGAGGTACTGGAGCTGGAGGTCCTGCTGGTGCTGGTGCTGCCGCTGGGGGTACTGGTGCTGTCCCTGCTGTGTCTAGAGTCGCTGCGCGGACTCGGCCGTACTTCGTTCCGCTCCTTCAGCAGGTTCTTGGTCTCCCGCCTTCTACTGGTCCTCCTCCTCCCTTCGAGTGTCCACAACCTGTCCCGTCACAGTTACAATTACAGCCGACCTCCACCGTTCCCTCCAGCTCCACCAGCGCCCTTGCCCCCCTTGCCCTTGCCAGAGCGGCGTCTCCCACTAGGGGCAGACGCCGCGCCAACCGACTCGAGACCAAGCAGGTCGGCAGCAGCAGCAGAGGCAACAGAGGGCAGGAGGGGGGAAGGAGAGCACCCCTCAAAGATGGGGGTGCGAGGGTCACCACGAGAAGCTCCTACAGCGACGATGCTCTTCTCCGCCGCGAGGAGGGCCTTCTCGAGGACGTCGACGGTGAGGGTGGTGGGATAGACTGCGAGAAAGTGGTCCCTGACTACGCGAAGGGAGTCAGGGAGGCGCGCGACTACGTAGTAGAGAGTGATGTACATGGGGGGGGGGTTCTTAGCGCAGAACTCAGCAGGAAGGGCGGCGCGGTAGCGAGTGTCACTAGTGCGGAGGTGCGTAATGAGGTCAGCAACAGTGGGAAAGGCAGAGAGGTCAGGAAAGAGGTAGGGAAGCATGAGACGGCTCAGTGCAGCAGTGGCAGGGGAGGAGTAGCGCGCAACTACAGCGTCGTACAAGGTCTGAGCACTCTTGTACTGACTAAAGTGCGCGCGCTCAGAGGTAGGGAGGTGGCGACGCACAGCAAGACGTGCAGCAGCATCGCGGGTGGCCCACTGAGAGCGCACAGTGGGATCAGCATCAGCAGCAGGGGCAGGAGAGGCGCCAGAAGTGAGGTCAAAGAGAGAGAGGCCGTCTGCCCTATCGCACTGTAAAAACAACTGCAGGTCGTCTACCTAGACCTCAAAGTCAATGGCGCGACCCTCAGCGTCAAAAGCTAGGACACTAGGGGTAGCCATGACGACGACAGCGAAGCAGTGCAAGCAGTAGGGGAAGAGCACGCAGTGTTAGCGGTACTGTGCTCACCGGGCAGGGCAGGTCGGGCAGCTCTGCAGAAGGGCGGCTCGGCGACTCAGCGACTCGGCTACTGGGCGGCTCGGCTCCCGGGCGGCTCGGCGACAGAGTGGCTCGGGTGCAGGGCGGCTCGGGTGCACTACTGCTCGGTGGTCCGGCGGCTCGCCTGCTGCAGGTGAGTGGCTCGGCTGCTGCAGGTGGGCGGCTCGGCTGCTGCAGGCTGGCGGCTCGGCTGCCGCAGTTGGGCGGCGCGAGAGGAAGGGGGGCGGCGGGGCCGGGTGGCAGGGACGGCGAAGGGCCGCAGTAGAGGCGGCCGTAGAGCCGCAGGTAGGAGGCGGCGGGGCCGCGCAAGGGCGGGGTGGCCGCGAGTGACGGCGGCGGGGCCGCGTCGGAACGGGCGGCGGGGCCGCGTCTGAGTAGGCGGCGGGGCCGCATCGGAGGGGAGGGTGGCGGGGCCGCGGCTCAGCAGGCGGCGGGGCCGCGTCGGAGCGGGCGGCGGGGCCGCGGCTGAGCAGGCGGCGGGGCTGCGCCTGAGTGGGCGACGGGGCCGCGGCTGAGGAGGCGGCGGGGCCGCGTCAGAGCAGGCGGCGGGGCCGCTTCGTAGCGGGCGGCGGGGCCGCGGCTGAGCAGGCGGCGGGGCCGCGTCCGAGTGGGCGGCGGGGCCGCGTCGGAGCCAGCAGCGGGGCCGCGGCTGAGTAGGCGGCGGGGCCGCGTCTGAGCAAGCTGCGGGGCCGCGTCTGAGCAGGCAGCGGGGCCGCGTCGGAGCGGGCGGCGGGGCCGCGTTTGAAGGGGCGGGCGGGGCCGCGTCCGAAGTGGGCGGCGGGGCCGCGTCTGAAATGGCGGCGGGGCCGCGTTCGAAAAGGGGTGGCGAGGCCGCGTCTGAAAGGGCAGCGGAGCCGCGAGGGAAGGGCGACACGGAGGGTCGCTCGAGAGAGAGAAAAAAAAGGTTAGCGCGCCTCGAGGCGCGCTTCGGTGGGCCCTAGGCGAAGTTCCCACAGGGAACCCGCTCTATACCATGTGAGAATACTAGAACAGGAATGGAATGACTAAGTGAAAGTTGGGTACAAATGCAAACCCTAGAGAGCTGTACCCCATATGTGCTACCCCACTATAGCCTACAACAGCTATGTCATATATATCTGACAGTTTTCAACTAAGAAAGGTTAGAAGGATTTATCCGAGGCCGATTCGGCTTCTCTTGGGCCTGGAACCTTCCACTAAGCCTTTGCAGCTGTGTAGGCTTCATCTTTGGGGAACAGGGAGCCTTTAAACAGTGCTGCTGGGAGAGAATATTAACTCCTCGGAACGCTCGACCCGTATTAGCGCTCTGGAGTAGCGTCCCCATAATACCCGGTACCGGTTTAATTTCTGACTCTCCCTTAATAAAGGCTTGAAACCCACGAGAAGTAATATTCTTACTTGTCGGGGTATACGGCTGGAGTTTCCCGGTCTTGTTTCGCGGTCCTCCATTAGTCTTGGCGATTTCCCCTGGTGCCGGCTGGTCGAGACGTTTCAAATTTGCGCCACCATATTCTCCTTTTTTCGCCTCTCCGAAGTTGCCACGTTGTCCGTTTTCTGATTCGGGGGTGCCGCACTGTTCTTGTCCTTCAGCTCCGCACACCTTCTCTCCATTTTCCAACACGCCAAGATACGATGTCCTGTAGCGCCGCAAAATTTGCACGTCTCATTATTTGCTAGCCGCTGCTCCACATCGCCCTCGTCATTCTCCATCGGGTCGGCAGTCGTGGGTGGTGCCAATCGCCCCATGCCACTAGTTGGCTTGTTGCGTCGTGTTCCGTAGTAGCTATGATAAAACTGAAACGAGAAAATGAATGCACTATGAAAGAGTTGGGTACAAGTACTAACCCTAATTGGGTTGTACCCTATATGGGCTACCCCACTACAACCTACATAAAAGCAAAAGCTATAATGTTCTGACACACCCCCATAGGCAAAGTGGGGGAGTACAAGGGGTCATAAGACCATTCAAGCAAAGCAAAGCAAAGCAAGCTCAGGGTGGATCACAAAGTCACCACACATTCCGAGCACAAGGTCAAGGCCACAAGGCCAGTTCACAGGCAGGAGTACATATATATATAAAAGGCTAGACAAGCAAGAGCAGGTGTATATATATATGTAACAGTACAAGTAAGGTCAAGAGGTGAGCAAGTGAGGCAAGGCAGGCACAAGACCCGGCAGAGTACAGAAGCGCTGATGATCACAAGCCGCAAGTGCCTTGGTGAAGATATCAGCAGTGTTGGCCTCAGAGGCCACGTACTCAAGACGCAGCTGACCACGCTGCTGCAGCTCACGAGCAAGGAATTAGCGAAGAGCAATGTGCTTCGTTCTGTGCTCCAGTCTGTGCTCTCGACACAAGGCCAGCATGGCCTTGTTGTCTACGTACAGCACTGGAGGAGAACGTGGCGGCTCTCTGAGGTCAGTCAACAGGTAGGTGAGCCAGCAAAGCTCCTGTGCAGCCATGGCCCTGGCGTAGATCTCAGCCTCACAACTGGAGCCGAGAAAAGAAGACGAGTGGGTAGCCCGCCACGAAACAGAGCCAGAACCAAGGCTGAAGGTGTAACCCTGTGACGACCGATGCGTAGCCTGGTCGTCAGCCCAAGAAGCGTCTGCGTGCCCAGTGAGGACCACTGGACTCTGCCCTCCAAGCACAAGCCCCATGCCCGACGTACTGCACAAGTAGCGCAACACCCTCTTCGCTACAGCCATGTGCTCCGGTCTGTGGCTCCCAGGAGCAACATAGCGTGCGAGAATGCTAAGAGGGTATGGAAGGTCAGGTCGAGTGCAGGTCATCAGGTACATGAGGCAGCCAACAAGCTCTGGGTACGGGCCACTCGCCTCTACGGACTCATTCGAAGGCAGAGCTGAGAGCGAGTGGCGAGTAGGCAGAGGAGTGGCTTGAGGCGAGGAGTACGTGAAGCCGAAGTGCTGAAGGACCTGCTGCACCATGTGTGACTGAGTCAGGGTAATGGTGCGGCGTGCTTTGTCCCGGGTGATCTGCAAGCCAAGGTAGCTGCGCAATTCACCCAGGTCTTTGCACGTGTGTCTCTTCTGCAGCTCGAACTTCATGTGGGCAAGTCCAGCAGCGTCAGCAGTGACAAAGACCAGGTCGCCGACGTACACGAGGATGTAGAACGGCGGCAAAGAAGTGTCGGTGCGCAGAAACAGCGACGGGTTGGCAGTAGAGGGAGCAAACCCGAGAGCCGCAAGTGTAGTCCTCAGTGTGTCGTGCCACTCACGCGGTGCCTGGCGGAGATCGTAGACTTACCGCCGGAGGCTCCACTGAGTGCCAGGAGGAAAAGACCCAGTGAAGCCAGGTGGGCGACGCAGCCACATCTCCTCGTGCAGGCTGCCCTGCAAGAAAGCCGTGCTGAAGTCAAGAGAGTGCAGCTCGTAGTCATGGTGAGCAGCTATGTGCAGCAGTACCCGAAGAGTGGTCATCTTCGGGGTGGGAGAGAAGGTCTAAAAGTAGTCAACTCCCTGCCACTGACTGAAGCCACGAGCCACGTACCGCGCCTTGAAGACAGGCGGAGAACCCGGCGGCCGCTTCACCCTGAAAATCCACATGCCACTAGCGATGTTCGCCCTAGGCGGGGGAACCTCGTCGACGTAGGTGCCTGTGGACTTCCAGGAAGCCATCTCTGCGTCCATAGCTGCCTGCCACTGAGAGGAGTAGGGACCTTCTATCGCCTCCGCGTAAGAGCGCGGAGTCGGGATGTCAAGTGCATCCGGGTCTCCCTCAGGGTAAAGCAGTACGGACACGAGATGAGGTGAAGCAGCAGCCAGGCACTGGACGTCTGTGCCAAGGGCACACTCACCCCCAACGGACGGAGGACAGACAGACTCAGACTCAGCGACAAGACTAGCAGCGTAGTCTAGACGACAGCGAGCAGCAAAGTCGACGAGCTCAGTAACTAAGGCAGACGCAGCAGTGGACTCAAAGGAAGGGTTAGTGACGACAGTAGCAAGGAGACGCGTGACAGTAGGACTGGCAGCACAAAGAGAGCTCGACTCCGGGTTGGCAAGAGCAGGAAGAGAGGACTCAGGAGGAGAAGGCTAAGGGGCACGCAGAGGAGCAGTGGACGGACGCAGAGACATCCGGTGCGTGCCAGGGACAGGAGGAGGACGCTGACGCGAACCACGACCACTAGTGCGAGCAGGGCGGACAGGCGACGTAGGGCGAGACGCAGGCTCACGACGCTCAGTAAGACTTCCAGTAGGACCAGTGTAGGGAAAAGGAGCAGGCAGTGGGGAGGCCGGCTGTAACTGTAACTGTGACGGGACAGGCTGTGGACACTCTAAGGGAGGAGAAGGACCAGTAGAAGGCGGGAGACCAAGAACCTGCTGAAGGAGCGGAACGAAGTACAGCCGAGGCCGCGCGGCGACTCCAGATACAGCAGAGACAGCATCAGTACCCCCAGCGGCAGCACCAGCGCCAGGAGCACCTCCAGCTCCAGTACCTCCAGCAGCACCAGTAGTACCCCCAGTAGGTCCGCCTCCAGGACCGACAGCAGCAGCCTCCGCGCCAACACCCTCAGCAGCACCAGCTCCAGTCGCACCCGCAGGCCCAGCAGCTCCACTACTCCCAGCACGAGCACCTCCGTGACCCGCGGCACCAGCACCCTCAGCAGCTGGAGAACCTCCAGCTCCAGCACCACGACTCCAGCGCCGGGCAAACCACACACGCAGCTCCTGTAGAGAGAGGGGCTCCCGTCGAGACGAAGCACCCGGAGAACCTCCAGGCCCGGCACCGCCAGACGCCACAGGAGTAGGCCCAACTCCCTCAGGCTCCGCACCTCCACGCTCAGCACCTCCAGGCATAGCACTCCCAGGCTCAGCACCCCTAGGCTCAGCACCCCCAGTTGCAGCACCCTTGGGCTCAGCACCCCCATTCGCAGCACCCCCAAGCTCAGCACCCCCAGTAGGAGCACCCGCAGGCTCAGCACCCCCACGCACAGCACCCACACGCTCAGCACCCCCAGAGTCAGCACCCCTAGGCTCAGCACCCTCAGCAGCATTAGAGTCACCAGTAACCTCGACTGGCTCGACAGCGTCTACCTGGGACACACCTGAAGGGGCAGGACCCTGAGGGGGGAGGGGGTCTACCGGGGGGGAACCTGGTACAAGGAAGAGCAGTGGCGGGGGGAGGGACGGAGTGCGGTAGGGGAAGAGGCGGTAGTAGGGGACCGACTCGTCAAACGTGACGTCCTGGGAGGACAGAACACGGCAAGAGGTGGGGTGGTAGAACTGCCACCCTGGCGCGTCAGGGGGGAAGCCAAGGAAGACGTAAGGAGCAGCACGAGGGGACAGCTTGTCCGCAGACAAGTCGCGAACAAACGCCCGAGATCCCCAGACACGGAACGCAGACGCATCGCCAACCTTCCCCGTCCACAGCAAAGTTGGGGAGGTCTCCGGCATGGAGACCCTGGGGTGAAGGTTGATCTGATGCGCCGCGTACCGAACCGCAAACGGCCATAGAAAAAGGGGGGCAGCCGCATGCATCATGGACGTACGAGCGACATCCATGACCCATGCCAATGCGGCGCTCAGCAATCCCATTTTGCTGTGGGGACTCTGGAAGCGTGAAGGTCTGGCAGATGCCTCGTGCACGACAGTAGGCTCGCAGAAGGCCAGAGGGGAACTCTCCGCCTCTGTCAGAGTGCAGACGCAGAACAGGAAAGTCCGAGCCGAAGCTCTGCCTGAGCTGGAGACGAGCCGCGCGGATACTGTCGATCAACACCTCAGTGACATCACCCTTGCTGCGCAAGGGGGAGACTGTGGTGTAACGCGAGTAGTCGTCAACCACCAGCAGGAAGTAGCGCTCGTGACCCTGTCCACGGACGCGGGCCGGGCCCCACACGTCCATGTGAAGCGTCTGCAGCGGGGCCTCTGTCGGAGGAAACTGGGAGGAGTGAGGGGCAGCCCGCTGACGCCCCTCAACACAGGGGACGCAGGTAGGGCCAGGCCCAGGAGGAAGGGGAGGGAGGGACCGGGGAAGACCAGAGACAAGGACACGGGAGGCCATGCCTCGGAGACGAAGCAGGGAGGGGTGACCAAGGCGGTGGTGCCAGAGGAGAGTCTCGTGAGACAGGAGGCGACACGAGCAGGGGGCAGACTCAGGACCAGACCTGGACGCTGCAGCAAACACCTGACCTGACGCAGCTAGCTGACCAGACGCAGTGACAGGAGGAGACGCAGTGGTCACTGTGTACAGGCTCGACCCCGGCCGACGTGTAAACGTGGCTAGGTGTCGTCCTTTCCGAGCGTCCGTGCAGTGGGTCACCCGCTGACGCGTTGGAGTGAACTGGTGAACCCCCGCATCCTGTAGGTCAGCACCACTCACCAAGTTTGTAGAGAACGAGGGGAGGTAAAGACCAGGCAGGGTGCCAGAGGGGGCCGCCGGACACGGGAGGACAGTGGAGTAGTGAGCAAGGACAGGACCCCCAGAGGGGTCTGCCAGAGAGACTGCAACTGGCCGGCCAAGCAGCGTGAGTGTGGTGCGGTCTCGAAAGAAGGAGCGAGAAGCCCCCGAGTCAAGGGTGAAGGTGTCGGAGGCCGAAGCCGACGTAGTACCTGAGAGAGCAGACTCACCAGCACCTGAGGGAGCTGACACACGAGCACCTAGAGCAGCATCCCCGCTAGCACCTAGAGCAGCAGCCTCACCAGTACCTAGAGCGGCAGTGTCAATGCCCGGGTCGGGCGGAAAACACCGGTAACAGTCACCCTCATCACTAATAGTCACAGCATACATGGCAGCAAGAATAGCATCAAAGTCAAGGTCAAAGACAGCTACTCCCGCCCTAGACAGCTCACCCCAGCGGGGGATCTCCGTGGCCTCTGGGAACTGGTGACGCCAAGCGTCCGTCAGGTCGCCAAAGCAACGCTGGGTGGAGTGCGCATCCCCACACTGCTCACATGCGCGGTCGCCGGTGCGTAGGACGTAGGTGCACGGACCACTACCCCCACCCCGCTGGCGTGCAGTGTACCACTCACGGAGCTGCTGAGGGGAGGGGATGTCACGAGTGCGCTGCTGCTGCTGCTGCTGTTGCTGGCGCTGACCTCCACCGGAGCCGACCCTCTGCGCAGCGCCACCCCGACCAGCTCCACCTCCTCCGCCACCGCCTCCTCCACCGCCGCCACCTCCGCCACCACCTCCGCTCCCACCGCCACCGCCGCCGCCGCCTCCGCCTCCACTGCCGCCACCGACACCTCCACCTCCGCCACCACCCCCACCGCCACCCCCACTCCCTCCGCCGCCTCCACCGCCGCCTCCACCGCCCCCGCTAGCTCCTCCAGCGCCCCTGCCCCCCTTGCCCTTGCCAGGGCGGCGTCTCTCGCTAGGGGTAGACGCCGCACCGACCGACTCAAGCCCAACGAGGTCGGCCGCAGCAGCAGAGGCAACAGAGGGCAAAAGGGGGGAGGGGGAACACCCCTCAAAGATGGGGTTGCGAGGGTCACCACGAGAGGCTCCTACAGCGACTATGCTCTTCTCCGCTGCTAGGAGGGCCTTCTCTAGGAGGTCAACGGTGAGGGTGGTGGGGCAAACTGAGAGGAAGTGGTCCTTGACTACGCGAAGGGAGTCAGGGAGGTGGGTGACTATGTAGTAGAGAGTGATGTACATGGGGGGGGGGGCGGGGGTTCTTAGCGCAGAAGTCAGCAGGAAGCGCAGCGCGGTAGCGAGAGTCACTAGTGCGGAGGTGCGTAATGAGGTCAGCGACTGTGGGAAAGGCCGCAAGGTCAGGGAAGAGGTACGGTAGTATGAGGCGGCTCAGTGCAGCAGTGGCAGGGGAGGAGTAGCGTGCAACTACAGCGTCGTACAAGGTCTGAGCACTCTTGTACTGGCTAAAGTGCGCACGCTCAGAGGTAGGCAGGTGGCGACGCACAGCAAGATGTGCAGCAGCATCGCGTGTGGCCCAGTGTGAGCAAACAATGGCGTCAACATCAGCAGCAGGGGCAGGAGAGGCACCAGAGGTGAGGTCAAAGAGGGAGAGACCGTCTGCCCTATCGCACTGTAGGAGAAGCTGCAGGTCATCTACCTAGACATCAAAGTCAATGGCCCGACCCTCAGCGTCAAAAGCGAGGACACTAGGGGTAGCCATGACAGCAGTAGACTAGCAGCGCGAACAGTGGGGTAAGGGCAGTGCAGTGACAGAGGCGCTGCTCTTACCGGACAGGGCGGCTCGGGCGGCTCGGCGGCTCGGCAGCTCGGCAGGAACTGCAGCTCGGCGGCTCAGCAGGAACTGTAGCTCGGCGGCTCGGCTACTCTGCGGCTCGGGCGGCTCGGGCGGCTCGGGCGGCTCAGGCGACTCGGGCGGCTCGGGCGGCTCGGCGGGACGGCGGCTCGAGCGGCTCGGGCGGCTCGGGCGGCTTAGGCGGCTCGGCGGGACGGCGGCTCGGGCGGCTCAGGTAGCGCGGTGGCTCGGGTGGCGCTGGCGGCTCGGCAGTAGCTTGGCGGAGCCGCGTGAAGGTGGGGTCGGGGCCAGGAAGGGCGTGTGACGAGGCCAGCAGGGGCTGGGCCGGGGCCGGGAAGGGGGCGGCGCCGGGGCCCTAGGGTAGGCGACGGGGCCAGCAGAGACTGGGCCGGGTCGGGAAGGGCGGCGTCGGGGCCGAGAAAGGGCGGCGCCTGAGCCGAGAAGGGCAGCGACGGGGCCGCAGGTAGGCGACGGGGCCGCATGTAGGCGACGGGGCCGCAGGTAGGCGACAAGGCCGCAGGTAGGCGACGGGGCCGCATGTAGGCAGCGGGGTTGCAGGTAGGCGACGGGGCCGCAGGTAGGCGGCGGGGCCGCAGGTAGGCGGCGGGGCCGCAGGTAGGCGAAGGGGCCGCAGGTAGGCGACGGGGCCGCAGGTAGGCGACGGGGCCGCATGTAGGCGACGGGGCCGCAGGGTCGGGGCCGGGTCGGGAAGGGCGGCGTGAGGGCCGCGGGGTAGGCGAGGGGGCCGAAAGGGCGGCGAATCGGGGCCGGGAAGGGCGGCTCGAGGGCCGCGGGGTATGCGACGGGGCCGCTAGGGCGGCGGATCGGGGCCGTCAAGGGCGGCGCGACACAGTGAGAAAGGGGGAGCGCGACTCAGGCAAGGGCTGAGCGCGCTCCGGGCAAGAAAAAAAAATCGAATCGGTGGGCCCTAGGAACAGTTTCCACGAGGGAACCTGCTCTGATACCATGAGAAAACTGAAACGAGAAAATGAATGCACTATGAAAGAGTTGGGTACAAGTACTTACCCTAATTGGGTTGTACCCTATATGGGCTACCCCACTACAGCCTACACAAAAGCATAAGCTATAATGTTCTGACAAGCTACTGTTCAACGTGTCGAACTGTTCGATCAGTGATGTCGGAAACTGCGCCCACGTCCCCTCGCCTTGGACTATTCTGTTGTTGATCCACTCTAGAGCTGGGCCTCGTAATAGTGTTGCTGCGAGCCGTATGCGCATTGCGTCTTTTGTCGGGGTCGTGCATCCAACGGCTACAAAAGTTGTAGAGATTTGGAGCGTCGAATTGATTTTCTCCTCAACGGCCAAGATCGTACGCGAATTTCGCCTGGATAGATATACGCGACCTATAGAATTCGCGCTCGTCGATCCTATAGTCAACTTGACTCGCAGTAAGTCGACCAGCACCTAGAATTTGATTATTTTCGTCGCGCATCTTCTTGTAAATCGCCAAATGGAGGGAAAAGGAGATATTTCAGTACAGAGAATTGCGGAGTTACGTGCTGAGCATAAGCAAATACTTGCGGCGCTCCCACGACTCGAAAAACTCCTTGCGAACCAGTCGGCAACCGCCACAGCAGCAGCGACAACAGTAGCAGCAGCAGCAGTAGCGGCAACACCGACAATTCTACATGCGACAACGGCAGCAGCTACAGACTTCGAAGCCGACAAAAGACAAATCGATAAACTCGAAGTAAATTTCGAGTTCAGGTCATCAGGTACATGAGGCAGCCCACAAGCTCTAGATACGGGCCACTCGGCTCTGCGGACTCGTCCGAAGGTGAAGCTGAGAGCGAGTGACCGGTAGCCAAAGAAGTGGACTGTGGCGAGGACCAAGTGAAGCCGAAGGGCTGAAGGACGTGCTGCACCATGTGTGACTAAGTCAGGGTGATGGTGCGGCGTGCTCTGTCCCGGGTGATCTACAAGCCAAGATAGCTGCGCAGCTCACCCAGGTCTGTGCACATGTGTCTCTTCTGCAGCTCTGACTTCACAAGGGCCGGTCCCCTTAGTGTCAGTTGTGGCAAAGACCAAGTCGTCGACGTACACGAGGATGTAGAACGACGGCAACGAAGTGTCGGTGCGCAGAAACAGCGACGGGTCAGCAGTCGAAGGACCAAACCTAAGAGCCGCAAGTGTCGTCTTCAGTGTGTCGTGCCACTCACGAGGCGCCTGGCGGAGACCGTAGATTGGCCGCCGGAGGCTCTACTGGGTACCTGCAGGAAACGACCCAGTGAAGTCAGGTGGGCAGCGCAGCCAGATCTCCTCGTGCAGGCTGCCCTGTAAAAAAGTTGTGCTGAAGTCAAGAGAGTGAAGCTCGTAGTCACGCTGAGCGGCGACGTGCAGCAGCAAGTGAAGTGTGGTCATCTTCGGGGTAGGGGAGAAGGTATGAAAGAAGTCAGCCCCATATCGCTGACTAAAACTCCGTGCAATGTAACAAGCCTCGAAGACAGGCGGAGAACCCGACAGCCGCTTCACCCTGAAAATCCGCATGCCATCGACTATGTTCGCCCAAGGAGGGGCAATTGCGTTGATGTAAGTGCCTGTGGACTACTAGGATGCCATCTCTGCGTCCATGGTTGACTGCCACTGAGAGGAGTAGGGACCCGTAATCCCTTCTGCGTAAGAGTGCGGGGTCGGGATGTCTGGAGCATCTGGGTCTTCCTGAGATGCAAGCAACATGGACACGATTTGAGGTACAGCACCTGCATGACACTCAAAGTCCTCCTGCCTGTCCTCAAAGACGTCCGTGCCAAGAGCACACTCACCCCCGACAGACGAAGGATAGACAGACTCAGACTCAGCAACAAGACTAGTGGCATAGTCAAGACGACAGGCGGCAGCAATGTCAACAAGCTCAGCAACTAGGGGAGACGAATTAGTGGACTCAAACGAAGGGTCAGTGACAACAATGGCCAGAAGACGTGTGATAGTAGGACTAGCAGCACGAAGTATGTTAGACTTAGGGTCTGGTCCGTCAGCAAGAGAGGACGCAGGAGGACACAGCAGAAGGACACGCTGTGGAACAGAGGAAGGACGAAGTGTCATAGTGTTCGTGCCAGGAACAGGAGGAGGACGCGGATGCGGAACACGGGGAACAGTCAGAACAGCACAAACATGTGAGGCAGGACGAGACGCAGGCTCACGACGCTCTGTAAGAGAGTCCGACTGCTTAGTGTAAGGAGAAGGGGCAGGCAGTGGAGAGCCTGGCTGTAATGGGATGCCAGTAGAAGATGGGAGGCTAAGAACGTGGCGAGGCACCGAGTCAGGCAGTGGCAGAGACGACGGTGACGGCGAAGCGAAGAATAGTCACCGCTGTGCAGTACCACCAGCTCTAGTACCACCAGCTCCAGCACCTGCAGTATGAGTACCAGCAGCCCCAGCGCTTTCAGCAGCTCCAGAACCTCCGGCTCCAGCGCCTCTAGCTCTAGCGCCTCCAGCTCCAGCACCTCCAGCTCCAGCGCCTCCAGCTCCAGCTCCAGCACCCGCAGCACCAGCAGCTCCAGTACCTCCAGCACCAGTAGCACCACCAGCTCCAGGAGCTCCAGTACCTCCAGTACGAGCACATTTAGGACCAGCAGGGCGCGCTGGGCGCTGCAGAGGCGGCTCGCGAGCTGTAGGGGTGGCTCGCGGGCTGCAGGGGCAGTGCACAGGCTGTAAGAGGCAGGCGCGCTGGCTGCAGGGGCGGTTCCCGGGCTGCAGGGGAGGCTTGTAGGCTGCAGACGGGCGGCGCGCGGGCTGCAAGGGTCTACGCACGGGCTGCGTGCACGGGGCGGCGCGACGCAGGGCGAGCAGGGGCTGCGCGTAGGCAGGCAGGGCGGATGGGCGTCGCGGCGGGCTGGGGCAGCCCGCTCTGGCAACGCAATGGGCACGGGTAGGGCCGACGGGCGACGCGACAGGCTGCAGGGGCGCACGGCGCGACGGGCAGTAGGGGCGTGCGGCGCAACCGGCTGCAGCAGAGCACGACGTGAGGGGCAGCAGAGCGCGACGCGCGGGCTGCCGTAGGGCGCGACGCGCAGGGCAGCAGGGCGCGACGGACAGGCTGCAGCAGAGCGCGACGCGCGGGGCAGCAGAGCGCGGGCTGCAGTAGGACACGGGGCAGGGCAGGGCGTGTGCGGGGCAGCGCGACACGGGGCAGGGCAGGGCGTACGCGGGGCAGCACGACGCGGGGCAGGGCAGGGCGTGCGCGGGGCAGCGCGACGCGGGCCAGGGCAGGGCATGCGCGGGGCAGCGCGACGCGGGGCAGGGCAGGGCGTGCGCGGGGCAGCGCAACGCAAGGCAGGGCAGGGCGTGCGCGGGGCAGCGCTACACAGGGCAGGGCAGGGCGTGCGCGGGGCAGCGCGAGGCAAGGCAGGGCAGGGCAGGGAAGAGCTCGCGCTGACGGCGCGGCGCAGGGCAGGGCGTGGGGTAACGCAGTAACCGCAGTTGGCCACTAGTTAATGGTGGGCCCGTAAAATAACGGTCCTACGGACCTACTGCTCTGATACCATGTCAGAAACTAACGAGCAGGAATGTGTGTATTAATCAGAAATGTGGTACAAGTACTAACCCTAATTGGGTTGTACCCCATATACGCTACCCCACTACAGCCTACATAATATAAGCAGCATTATAGTTTGACAGTATGAACGTATGAATGCTTTTGGCCCTACAATATCAGTCATTCCCTCAATCAGCCAGACTGCATCAAGCTGGATTGTTACTGGACGTACAGCAACCCATCCCACATGAGGTTATCCAGCACCTAATCTGTAATCAGCTGATCCTTGGGAACTCCAATTGGCCGTACATACACCTGTCCCAGCTCGTCCACCCGCATTTGCACCACATCAGACATTTCTTGCAGCATTGCAGAAAACCCCTTGGATAATTGGGATTTTCTCCTTGATCTTTTGTATCCATGTATAGACAGTAAAACGCCAAGAGGATGACCAGCCATATCTTATAAATCCTTCTGCAGCACACTCAAATATAACCAGCGATCAGGCGTAGCTTCGTCAGTGATGAAGGCCCCAACACCTTTGACTGCCACAGTTGATGCCTATAGCTCATCAACCACTATTCTCAGCTTTGACTGGATGAGCCCCAAAATCCTCTAATTTTGTGGTGATGGAACAATGTTCAGCGCCCGCTGCCGGGACAGAATATTTCTCTCAGCTGCTGAAAGCAGCTCAGCATTCTCATATTCTGCCCATGCGGGATTCAGTTGCACCACATCTGGAAGAACATCCCCAATCTCTTTCATTCGTGTCAATCTGTAGTCTGCCAGCCGAATTGGCTTTCCCATGATTTGAGTAAATGCTTGGTGAAAACTCTCCAAAGTGAGGGTACCACGAGCAGCCAGCACAATCATCATCTGGTACTTCAGTCGTCCCAGAGATATCTCATCCGCTGTAATGCCTGGTAAAGCACGCTCTGATACATGTGTCAAGGAGATATTGGGCAATGTTGGATCTGATGTGGCGCGTGCACGTTCATCCTCATCTCCAGTTCTGGGTGCTGGTGATACGACAAGCGTACCTGATGAGGACGTAACCGATGGGGAAACAACCACCTGTCGAGTCCAAGAAATCACATAATTCCAATCATGGATGCGGCGGCACTAGGTAAGTTAGTGACCTACCGATTCTGGTTATCACAGCTGCTTTAATATTGCGAGCTAGGAGCCTGGAGACGAGAGGAGCGAAGCCAGAATCAGCAGTTATAAGAACCACGCAAGGGAGAGGAAGCGACTTGGAAATAAGTATGGATGGCAAGAGCATCGTCAGTGAGGTTGTTTGGAGAACTTCAGACAGATTAGTTGAGTAAATGATATACCAGCACGTTGACAAATCCAGGAGCATATGCTGCCCTTGTTGGCTCATCTGCGCTTCTTCAACTTTCGCTTTATCGTCAAAAGCGAAGCACATGGTGTCCAGAATCATGGCCTTGTCCGACATCTCCTTCCCTGACGGTACTTGGCTAAACTCCACGCCGCATGCCTGCAGCTCGCTCGCTCGTGAACCCAAAAGTTCCTGCTTTTCGTAAGCTGTGAATTGGATTATTTCTTCGTACAAATGGATGGTATCTTCCAATCGACGAACAAGATCTGCCGTGTTGCATCAGTTTGGGACAACACAATTTTCAACATCCCAGAAGACTTCATCGTAACCTTCTTGTACCGGATTGGTCTCCAATTGAGCGACAGCTGGGCCAGTATGACTTAGAAATGCCTCATCGTCGTTATCAAAACAGCAGGTCATTAGTCTAACTACAAGTTCCTTCAATGATCTGAACATTGCCTCTCAATGCGAGGTTAGCAACAGATTTAGAGCTGCTGGTTTCCGAGGTAAGATAATCGTAATCTGGCCAAACAACGGCCCTTCCCAACTGTCTTATCCGGAACGAACGACATGAGGACGACGACAGCTCCCCTTGTCTCCAAAAACGCTGCGGTTTAAGGTTTGAAGGCTTTTTTTATGATCGTGACCATTGTATAGTGCCTACACAATTATGGCTAAAAGTCCAAAGCCGATAGGGCCTATGTTAACCAGCATTAATTGCCTATTCGTTACCGAACAGCACGTAAACCGCATGTAACATGGTAGCACCGAGCCCAAACGTTAGGAGGGGAAGCTGCTATGGAGGCATGTATGCCAAGCCCAGGAACCACGAGTGAACTAGAGAAGGGTGAAGGAAGGGCCGGCCCTGCTCGTTGAACTTCAGCATTTGTAAGGAGTTTGCAAACTTGACCCTATCAGCCGAACGCTTTTGCTTTTTAGGTGACCACCATTTCCACTTGGCAAAGTACACTCTACAGGCCGTAACGAACAGTGCGATGATCCTTTGTAGTGTCGAATTGTTGTCAGTACTCTATCTTCCATAATGCTGTTCGCATCGGTCGACCCAAAGGTGTGAGCGGCCGCCCCGATTAAGATGCTCCACGGGGCAACTTGTCCAGTGGGACACAGCGGCGGGAAGAACACAGCGTCATGGTGGATGTTAGAGGAGAGATGTCGTTGCGCCGTACGTTGGATTGCCTCCACCACCTGAGGGGCGGCGCCACAGATGAAGAAGATATGAGGTAGGGACTCGATTTTCCCAGTACTGCAACGTACGCATCTCCCTCGAGCCTCCAAAAACGGCAGTTTCGAGCCGGAGGGGAGGGCCCTGTAGTAGAGCCGGAGAAGGGTGTCCCTGTGTCTGCTAAGCTGATCCTTGAGAAAAGTGTGTTTTAGATCCGGAAGAGAGTCACGAGGCGAATGTAGCACGTGGTTCCACCCCTCAATATAATTAAGCGGTCGCCGAACGTAGAGAGTTTTTTTTTTTATGTATGCCAGAGAGGGGTTGCGACCGATGAGCTCGTGCCGAACGCCCAACGTTGCGCCAGAGCAGAAAGGACCGAACACCCAATCGTCCCAAACACGCACGCTGATGACTGCAGATTTTGGAAGTGTGTAGAGAGTCGAGACACGCGATTCCACCCGACCGCCTGGTAGAATCGAGTGGAACTTGAAACGTGCCATCCCATCAGGAAGGTTATCCACCACTTGGAGAACACGTTGCAGATTCTCCCGCTCGTTTCTGACAATCGCCCATTCGTAGAGTTGAAGGTAGTCGTCCACTGGTTGATACGATTCCAGCACCGACCACCAGTCGTCGTCCATGTCGTTGTAGATGTCTTCGATAATGCTGAAACCGCATGGGAACTCCTTCGGGGGGGACTCTGAGCGAAAATCTTTCTTGTTCATGCGACGCGCGCCTCCTGGGGTAGGTATGAGAATGTTACCAATTCTGAGTTGTCGTTGCAGTAGGAAGGCTTCGTTCTTGAGTCTTCCAAACGGAAAGTCGGTGCCTTTCCTTTTCAAGAACCGATTAAAAGCAAGTGGTTCTGCCATAAGGACCCACGGATCCAAACGCGGGGGAGATGACAACCTGCAAAGCCAGCACACTCCGAAGTTCCGCTAGTGCCCTGCAGGGTATGTCAGTGGGCAGATGGGCTTTGATGTCCGGGTGAGCTAGAAAACAGTGAGCACCGTATGGAAGAGAAATGCACTCCCGACCGACTGCTTCAAAGGGTGAGGGCCTGAAACGTCTGACGGCACGTTGAATATTCAAGGCCTCGATCAGGCCTTTTGGATAGGCCTGGCCACCAAACTTATCCAAAAACGTTGCAGAATCGACATCTCCTCATCTGATGCTTGTTAGCAACGGTAGTTTTGCTCCCTCATGAGCCTCGCCTCGCCTACGTGCCATGGTTCAAGATACAAGGATGACAGATTCCAAGGGATGGCTTCACTATGATGCATGAGAAGGCTTGGATGGCCACGCTTGTCATGCTCCCTGGCATCCTTCGCATGGCGAGCCTGATCGTGTTCAGATCTTCGTTGCATGCCTGATTGATGTGTGGTATTGAACGGCGGGGCAAAATTGAAGCTGGAGAGGCATGCTATTGCATCAATATTGTTCCAAAAACCAAACCAAACCAAACCAGCCCGCTTGGGCCGTGTGGCATGGGGTTAAAGCCCGATTCTAGAATGGCAAGTGTTCGAGTTCAAATGCTTGAACTAGAATATCGCCAAGAAACAAGGTAACATGGTTTGAAACACCGATCCTTCTCGACCCACCAAGTGGTGATTCAGGCGTTGTTGATTGGCTGAAACTACAACAGTGAAAACAGTGACAGCCATCGCCGGGAAAAACACAAAACTGGAACCACTGTTCCTACTTTTGGTAACTTGAAGATGGTAAATACCGTTCTAGACTAGACTCGATGGTACTGGGCTCCATAGCCCTCAGTATCTGTCTAAAGCACGTGAACAGAGGCCAACACGAGGCACTCCGCTAATAACTTTAGGGTAAACGGTAGTATTTCTCACACTCGTCACTCCCGTCACACGTAGTCCAATCGTGCGCATGCCGTACGCACATATTTGTGCGCGAACGTCCACAATTGGCTTCTAGAGGCTCCCCTGAAGCATCGCTCTCTCACACCCATTTAGGATTGACTATAGCGCGACGCTCACACCCGAAGACTCGTCGCTGTGTAGAGCAATCACCGGCGCATGCCATGGTGGGTCACAGCAGCACCCATATCTCAGTTGGTCATTTCAAAATCAGTTTGGCCATGCGAGCACCACTGCTCCTCACGCGTGGACTTAACGCGGGGCAGGCAGGAACGAGCTCGTGCACGTGGAGGGAGGAGAGGGCAGGCCTCGTATGGCGATAGGCGCTGTAGCGTACATAGCTCAGTGCACAGAGGGAAAGGTTAGGCGTAAGCGTGGGAGCGACGTCTGCTGCGATGCCTGCCAGCATCCCTCAATGGCGCCTGCTCGACCTGCGCTTGCTGCTGCTGCTGCCATTCGCAAGTAGGTTGGGCGAGAATATATCCGCTCGTCCCCTCGCGGCATGAACCCCTCCTCCTCAGAGCCACACCTACTAGTACCGCTACGCGTTGACAACGCAGCTGAAGCCATGGCGAAGCAGTGCGCTGCAGTAGTTAGAGAGCCTTGGGAGCAGTGCAGTGCCACAGCGGGCTGGAATTGTGGACGGTGCCTTGCCGTGTGGCGCCATCGACCATTCTCTGCAAACCGCGCTGAGGTCGTCCACAGACACTCCGATTGACGACGCCCTTCTCGCCGCCGACCTCTTGCTGCCGTTTACCACGGTGCCGCTAGAAGCGGAATACGCAGTGGCGCGAGAGGAAATGGGGCGTCGCGAGGGGACGGGAATACGCGGAATACGCGGTGGCGTGAGAGGAGATGGGGCGCAGGGAGTTCACAAGCTAAAACTCGTTACAAACACACTCCCGTCACTCACATTCCGTACGTGTACGTGGCTCTTGTCGCTCCATGCCCTCCTAGTCCTTGCCCCCACTTCCCCTGCTCTTTGCGCTCGTCTTCGCCTCCCCTCGCATTTGGCAAGGCCCTCCCTTCCCCATCCCGTCGCCCACGCTTTCTCTGAGTGTCTTCCTCGCTTTCCCATCCCGTCGTGACGCCGCTTTCCCTTCCCGCCGCCCTCGCTTTTCCCTCTCATCGTCAGCATTGACCAAACTCATCGCATTGCTTCCAAAGACCGTTGCCTACATTCTTCCTGCTAGGCTCCCTCGCAACCTCCCTTCCCTCCCTCCATTCTCATCCTTTTATCCCTCTCCCGCCCCTATTTTCTACTCCCATCCATCTATTTTTTCCTCCCAGGGCATTCCTCCGTTTCGCCCCTCCGCATTTCCCCTTGATTCGTCCTTGCAGCTCCCTCCTTTTCCCCCGTGTCCTTCCATCCATCTCCCCACTTGTCCCTCCCTCCCATTCCCAACTGTCCTTCCATCCGTTTCCCCCTTGTCCATCTCTCCATTTCCCCAACAGTGCTTCCCTTCGTCTCCCTCCTTATCCCTCCCTCATTTCTCAACAATCCCTCCTTCCGTATCCCTCCTGGTCCCTCCCTCCCTTTCCCCCATATCCTGCCCTCCATTTCCCCGCTTGTTCCTCTTTGCCTTACACCCCTGTACTTCCCTCCGTTTCGGGCATTGTCCCTCCCTCCCTTTCCCCCGTGTCCTTCCCTCCATTTCTCTTTGCCCGCCCTTCCCTTACACCCTGGTCAGCCCCTCCGTTTCCCTCTCTCCCTTTCATCCTTTTTGCTCTTGTCCTACCCTCTGTTGTTCTGTTCTCCATGCCCAATGCCCCATGCCCCATGCCCCATGCCCCATACCCCATGCCCCATTCCCCATGCCCCATACCACATGCCCCATGCCCCATACCCCATGCCCCATTCCCCATGCCCCATACCACATGCCCCATGCCCCATACCCCATGCCCCATACCCCATGCCCCATACCCCATGCCCCATGTCCCATACCCCATGCCCCATGCCCCATTCCCCATGGCCCATGCCCCATGGCCCATGCCCCACGCCCGGTGCCCTCATGGGCAGATAAAAAGCGTATGTGGGCGGCAGCAGCAGCCTTCCGGGAAGTGGTGGTTCGCACTCCCAAGACAAGGACCTCCCTCTCCGACATCACGCAGAGGCACACCGCACTCGGGCACAGCGGTAGAGGGCGCCCGCCAGCAGGGGAGACTGCAGTAGTGAATGTTGTATTTGTCACATTGATGTCCACTACTTGCACGCCCTTCACTCAGGTCAGGTGCCCTTCGAAGCTGCATCAGTTCTTCTCTATCGTCCCCCTTCCCTTCCTTCATCGTGCTTCTCCGCCCCAGTCTCACCAGACGCTCTTCAGTCATCTTTCCATCCTCCATTGCACCGTATCCGCCATTACACTCTAAAGGCTGAAACAATCTAGAATTTCATATGACTTTCGCCCTACATGAATAGCGCTCTGGAAGTTCCTGCTGCGATCAGGAGTTGATTGTACCCAGGATTACTTTGAGAAGGTTCGCACACAATTGAGTGGTAGTGGTGGGCCCTTGACCTCAATTCAAAGTGAATGTGAAAGGTTTGAAATAATAAAAACATATGCCGTCATACCCCGGATATACCCCCATGGGGGGCACTAATAAAACGTGTTTTTTTTAGGGGGTGGGCTTATAATATAGTAATTTTATAAGCGCCGGGGCTTATACAATGACATATATGAAATCTAGTTGTTTTCACTTCAAAATGTTCATCTTGTCATTGCGGTTTCAATCGAGTCAAGATCATAGTGGGTGTGAAGAAGAATCTCGCGTAAGTTTGCAAACTGCCAACACACACAGTCAGAATGAGTCATTTCGCCCCATGACAGCTCATTCTGACTGGACGCGCAGTCAAATGGGTCGCGCGAGGGTGGGGCAGTGAGTCGCGCGAGGGTGAAGGGTCGAAATTTTATAGGGTGAAGTGAGGATGCAAATAGTGTGTTTCGCTACAGAGATTCCAGTAATTTTATAAAAACTAATACAAATGGTGGCTCTTATAATACGTAAGCCTTCAGGGGGTGCGCTTATAATCGAGCACCGGATATAAGCGTCACACGCCAATTAAACGCGCCAGGCGCTTATCCGCGGGTGGCGCTTATATCCGGGGTATGACGGTAAATACAATATATATCAATAAGAGTACATATGGAAAACGAAACGACTTATCTAGCCATATATTCTAAGAGGTACATTTCCTTATTACAGCGAAATCCAACCGCGCGATTTCAAACGGTTACGAGCAGAATCATCGCCACTGCTGCTGCCTGATGCTGTCTGTCATGACGGTCCAGATGCCCCGTAATTGTACGCGACCCTTCGCGTCATTCTGCCTCTTCGTATTTAGCCTCGACATTGTGTGCTTCACTTGCTGCGGTTAGGAGTGCACGGTGGATAACGGCTGTAAAATAGAAACGGCTAAATAACGGCTGTAAAATCCACCAATAAAATATTTACCAGCTTCCAAAGTCTTAGGCAGCACTTTCAGCTCTGGTTGGTTGTAAGGAAAATTCCTTTTCCTTCCTTCGCATCCCCGCTCACCGCGTACATCACTGTAGTACCTCAGTCAGCACCGTTACCACTCGCATCAATAATCCGCCCGCCATTTTTCGCATGTCGCACCCCGACCTCACGGCTCGGCGGTAACCCGCGCTCCGGACCACCGCCTCGACACTTTTCCCAACCTCAGTCCCAGGCCCGTCACGCGGCAACCACAGTCCATTACCGTTACCACTGTAATTTCGCTATATAATCCTTCGCTCATGCCTTCGCTCATTGTACTCTTGCTTCGATAGTGCAATCTTCGTTCGCTCACTCCATTGCACCCGTAACACTTGGTATTCAGAGCCTACGATCTCTTCTCGGACCGCATTCACACCTTCGTTTCCCCACTATCTCAATTTTTGGGGGGGGTAGACGTCTCTCAGCGATCAAGCACCGCCGCTCGTAGAGCTCTCTCGTAAGCACGCACGGCCACGACAGAGGCTCTCGCTGCGCTTGCCCGACACCCCCGCCATGGCTGAATTTACACTCGCGACGTTGACGCAGGAGCAGCTTGACCGTCTGATCCGTCAAGTTGAAGAATCAGCACTCGACATTGCGACGCTCACGGCAGAACGTGACTCCGCACGTCAGCAATCTGCGGCGAATGCTCCAGCGTCACAAAAGGCACCTGCACAGTCAGACGAGCCGATTGTCATCTCGTCCGGCACACCAACACAGCACAACAGCGTGGGACAGCGCTCAGGCGCAGCCAGTGACAGCACCGCCCAGCCAATGCCTGGCATGGGAGGAAACCGGGTCGCACCAAGCCCACGGGAGCCTCGTGAAGCCCGTCGGCACGTGGAGTTTGCGGCAACAAGTGGCGACCAGGCAATCATGGCGCCGATGCCACTCAAGCCGCAGCGCCCGCCCTGTTTCGACCCGAGCCAGCGTGGTGGTCCGACGGTTCAGTCGTGGATCTTCACGATGAACATGTTTTTTGACGCGAACTACGTCGAGTCGGACGCAGCGAAGATACGATACGTCGTCTCGCTGTTGAGGGGCCCCGCTATGGACTGGTGGCAAGTCATCGTGACGTCGCCACGCGCCTACGAGCCACCGTCGCAAGAGGAAGGGCCCGCGGGCCCAGCAGTCAACTGGATTTCATTCTGCGAAACCGTCCAATACAGCACGTGGGATGCATGGTGCGTAGGGCTTCGGGCGCGCTTCGAGCCGATCGCGGCTTCTATCTCAGCGCGTCAGAAACTGCGCACTTGGCGGCAGCTCGGGTCAGTTCAACACTACACGAGCGGTTTTCTCGCATTATGCGAGCAGGTCGGCTACATGCACGAAGCGGAGCGGGTGGACCGTTACGTCGGAGGGCTAAAGCCGGAAATCTCGCAGGAAATAATGCTACGCGGACTCTCGAACTTCAACGAGATTCTCGCGCTCGCCGAGAAAATCGACATTTTGCGCCGTCCGAGACCGGGGTCCTACTACGGACATCGTCCTCGAGGACCGATCGAGCACGCCACCGTACACGCCGTTGCGACGAATGCAGCTGCCGCACCATTCAAGGGGCGCTGCTTTGCTTGCAACAGGCCGGGCCATCGTAAAAGTGAGTGTCTAGAGGAGCTAAGGCGCCGCGGAGCAGAGCAAGGAAAGGAGTCTCAGAGGCAGGGAAACGCCAGCAGTCAGTAGAAATTGGGCCGACTACTGACGAGACTGCCTGCTCGCCCAACCACACCGACCCTCACCGAGTCACAGTACCGATTCACGCTATCGATCGGGCTCAGATGAATAAGGAGGGTACAGCGACGGATTGCCCAGTACTGATCCACGGGAAAATACAGGGAGCAGCAGTCAAGATTTTTTTCGACGGAGGAGCTAGTCACAGTTTAGTTAATACCGCGACCGCACGGAAACTTCAACTGACACTTAGCCGGTGCTTACCTGAGATTGATGCACGCTTAGTCGACGGCACGCCGCTGGCCATACGGGAGAAGGTGGAGAGAGTAAAAGTTCGCTGCGGAGGGAACTTCGGGTTTACACAAGAAATGCTCGCGACGACACTGGATGGGCACGATATTTTACTAGGACGTGATTGGTTGCGACGTTACAATCCGAGAATCGACTGGACGACAGGCAGCTGCACTGTGCGAAGTAGTGGTAACTGGGTCGAACTACCACGCTGGCAGTCGCCTGAGTCGTCGACGGTCCATGTCAACGCCATAACAATGAAACGGGCAGTCGCCGCTGGAGCTGACGTGTATGCAGTGGACATCGCAGTGGTAGGAAAATATGAGCAGCCGAGTGATTTTCAGAAACTGCTGACAACGGTACCGCCTGAACTACAGGAGCTATTGAAACGGTACCCGGGGATTTTCCCCGACGACTTACCGGAAGGACTGCCACCTCAGCGGGCGCACGACCATAGGATAGAGTTAGAGCCGGGGGCACAGCCAACTGTACAGCGCCAGTTCAGACTGACACAGCCGGAGCTCGACGAACTGAGGAAGCAGTTAGATTACCTGTTAGCGAAGCAGTTTATCCGACCGAGCTCGTCGCCGTTCGCCGCACCAATACTATTCACACCAAAAAAAGATGGAGGGTTTCGCATGTGCATCGATTACCGAGCGCTCAACAGGGTTACAGTGAAGTCACGATACCCCATTCCCCGCGCCGACGAACTGATCGACCAACTGCGAACAGCACGGGTGTTCTCGAAGATAGATTTACGGGGAGGTTACTGAGAAAATATGAACGAGAATGAAATGACTATGAACGAAGTGAGTACAAATAGGAAACCCTAATTTGGGTTGTACCCCCTATGGGATACCCCACTATAGCCTACAGAAACAGGTAAGCTATATGTTCTGACACACCCCCATAGGCAAAGTGGGGGAGAACAAGGGGTCACAAGACCAGTCAAGCAAAGCAAAGCAAAGCTCAGGGTGGATCACAAAGTCACCACGCATTCCGAGCACAAGTTCAAAGGCCAGAAGGCCAGTTCACATGCAAGATCATATATAGAGATATACAAGAGCCAAGTAAGCAAGAGCAAGAGTATATATAGACGAAGGTACAAGCAAGGTCAAGAGGAGAGCAAGTGAGGCAAGACAGGCACAAGACCCAACTGCGTGCAACAGCGCTGATGATCACAAGGCGCAAGTGCCTTGGTGAAGACATCAGCAGTGTTGGCCTCAGAGGCCACGTACGCAAGTCGCAACTGTCCACGCTGCTGTAGCTCACGAGCAAGAAAGTAGCGGAGAGCAATGTGCTTCGTTCTGTGCTCCAGTCGCTGCTCTCGACACAAGGCCAGCATGGCCTTGTTGTCTACGTACAGGACTGGAGGAGAACGAGGCTGCTCTCCAAGGTCGGTCAGCAGGTAAGTGAGCCAGCGTAACTCCTGTGCAGCCATAGCCCCAGCGTAGATCTCAGCCTCACAACTGGAGCCGAGAACAGAAGACGAGCGGGTAGCCCGCCACGAAACAGAGCCGGAACCAAGGCTGAAGGTGTAACCCTGTGACGACCGCTGCGTAGCCTGGTCGTCAGCCCAAGAAGCGTCTGCGTGCCCAGTGAGGACCACTGGACTGCGCCCTCCAAGCACTAGCCCCATGCCCGACGTACTGCACAAGTAGCGCAACACCCTCTTCGCTGCAGCCATGTGCTCTGGTCGGTGTCTCCCAGGAGCAACATAGCGTGCGAGAATGCTAAGAGGGTATGCAAGGTCAGGTCGTGTGCAGGTCATCAGGTACATGAGGCAGCCAACAAGCTCTGCAAACGGGCCACTCGACTCTACGGACTCATCCGAAGGCAGAGCTGAGAGCGAGTGGCGAGTAGGCAGAGGAGTGGCCTGAGGCGAGGAGTACGTGAAGCCGAAGCGCTGAAGG